ACACACACACACACACACACACACACACACACACACACACACACACACACACACACACACACCTGTCTCTGTTTTGATGGTGATCTGCACCAGATAAAAGCCAGTTCCTGACAATAGCAGCCTCTCTGTAGTGGAGTCCACAGGGACATCCTGACAAAAAGCAAAGAGCTGTGAATATATTCCTGTAGGTTGGTTTTTGTATGTCTGCAGCAAGAAATTATAGTCTAAGTTAATTTTACAACCCCATTTCCAAAACAATTTGAACAATGAGTAGAATCAAAAGAAAACAGAAAGCAATGGTTTGCAAATGCATAATTTTGAAGTGATGCTAATTCCCCTAAATTACTAATGTTATTAGCATTTGTTTATTTTATGCATTGATAACCTGTCAAAAATCTTGTGTATCTTTGTATGTTGCTTTTATGTTGCTATATGTTGTGTTTTTACCAAAAAAAAAAAAACTGGACCATTTTCATTAAGAAGTAAAAAATAAAGTTTTGTGTAAAGGTTTTGATGACTCTGTGAAGGAAAAGGTAGAACTGCTTATATTGTTTTCAGTGCCTAAGTGTGAAAGGATGCAAAATAATTGTCTTGTATAAAATTCCTCAAAAATGGTACTTGAGTAAAAGTATAAGTATCGTACCATAAAATAATTTGAATAAAAGTTAGTCTCCTATAAGGATAGTACTTGAGTAAAAGTCTTAAAGTATCTGACATCTACTGTACTTAAGTATCGAAAGTAATTTTCTGAAAGGTATTTAAGTATTAAAAGTAAAAGTATTGAGTAAAAGTGAGTGGTTAGAATTTTCAAAAGGATATTTATTGGGAGGTGACCTCAGTAAAAAACATTTTCTAAATGCCGTAGTAACTTTAGTTTTATATTGAAACGTTAACGTTGAAAATTTGGGAAGCACTAGTCTTCCTGTTTCTATATGGGAAGTGCCATTTATCTGGACAGGTTTCTTTTTTTTTAACGATGACAAACTGGAATGAAATAAAAGTAATGAGGATATTTTTAAAACATCAAGAGTAGAAAGTAAAAAGTTGGCTGAAAAATAATTACTCCAGTAAAGGTGATCAAACTTTCTTTCTTCTTAAGTAAAATAACAAAGTATTTGTACTTTCAGAGAGGTGAACAGTCAGAGTTCAAATAATATTGTTTCAATAAACAAAAACCAGGATTTCTTTTTCTTAAAGAATTCCCCTTTGATGTCACTTCCTGTTTCACTTTGGCTGAGCCAAGGTCAAAGGAAAATATGCCATTGAAAACAATGGGTAAAACATGTGCTTTATGTGCATAACGATGTTTTTTGTATTTGAAGGATATGCAGTATGTCACAGGCACTTTAAAGACGTAACATTCCTTGGAGTAATTCATATCGCCTGCTGCCTTCCTTTACACAGCTGAGACCTTAAACTGTCTTATGATGAAACAAGATTCAGTTTTAGCTCAGTGTGTTGAGGATGACTTCCAGCATCACCAAATTATAGCTCAATATCTGTTCAAATGGCTGAGTCAGAGCTATTGCTGTTTTGGCTCGACAGCATGTTGGCTAAGTGGTTACCCCTCAGGTAGGGTCCTTGGTTCAAGCCAGGGTTGAGTCTGGAGTTTATAGCTTCTTCTCATCTTTAAATGGAGTTTTAATTGATTCAAAAATGGGTCTGTTCAGACCTTCCTTTACAGGACTACATGGGGTTTAACTGATATATATA